CATAGCGCAGGTGCTCTCACAACATACCAGCCTCTTTCTGCACCCATAAAGAGATGAGCCACTCCGACTACTGTTGACCCAGTCAGCCGGATGTCACTCCCGAGGGATGACACTGCGGTCATGCCAGCAAAAGGAGAACCAGATTGCCAAGGACCACTCAAATCGGATGCCCTAGTGTTTGCGTGTTGGCTAAGCAAAAGATTCCATGAATCTATCCACTGGGATCTGCAAACTTCACCGAGTCAGCCCCGCACGGGCGCATCCCTCGACACGCCCAGGTGTCGGAAGACTTCAGCGGTGTAGTGAGCACCTGGACGGTGCTGACAAGGCAAGTACTTCAGAAAATCTGTCAAAGTCCACCTTGACCACAGAGGGTAAATGTCGTGTGATTGTACAACCTTCTTCCTTGCACAGCCTTGGAATGGGGGCACAGTGACTACCTTTGAGCTGAGATTGTATTTGGTTGTGTGTCATAACCTCCTGTACATCAGCGACCGAAAGCAAAAAACCAGGCGCCGAGGTAGGGGATGTTCCACTTGTCGACAACCGCTTGCCACCTTGGTCGTTGGCAAAACTGCATGTTGAAATTTGGCATCGAAACCTTGAAAACATGCTTTCGCAGTCTCTCCACTCTAGTCAAGCAAAGCCAGCGACCAAAGTCATCTGGTCAGTTGAGAGATGGTATCCTCCGACGGTTTCCTACTTTGACTCGCTCAATCTGTGAGGACATGCAGAACGAGACGGTGAATCACATGCCCTTCTGTGATCAGAAAGCCTGCTTCATCAACTAAAGACTTTCAGGAGAACAATTTTTTGTGAATTGCTGTCCAAAGGAATGGCAGCGGCGCAAGACTAGTTTCAACGGCAAGGAGCTAAATGAGGATGGGTTTAACCTTGTTGATAGTGTCAAGGTCCACCAAGTCGAAGTCATGTTCGAATGAGGATGAATTTGTTGCCTAAATCCGTGATTCCAGTAGTTTCTCTCATGCCGGCAGTGGCACCACGGTTGTGGACAGGGAGAGGGAGTAACTTCAGCAGCTACGCACATCCTGCATGCTCATCTGTGTGCTGGCTGAGGGAGCTGCGCGTCAAACGAAGGCTGGTGGGGCGTCTCTGTAGAGGAGAGGCTGCGAAGGCCTTGGGCACATGATCTCGCTACAGTGCGTGCTGAGCTTCTGGCCGACTGGCTATCCAGATACAAATCCATGCCTGCAAATCAGCCCCTTGGAATGAAAAGGCAAGAGCGACAACTTCACACGATTCGCGTGCGCACCATGCCGCCACACCCATGCCAGGGCTTGCGCTGTCTTCAACAGGCTTCAGCAACTGCTCCCTGAACTTCACATCCTGGGTTTCCCATGCTGCTTTGCAACATCACCCTTTCTGATGAGATCACGAGTTCCTGAGCCATGCGCAAATGCTGCGCGCTCCGCAGCTTCCCTTGTGGAAGCGACATTCGCCATGTCGAACCAAAACATGCCGACCTTCAAGGGCTTTTTGCAATGTTTTGATGCCCACCTCTCGGCTACACAAAGTTTGCGATGGTCTGAGGTGGCCACGTCGCCCTCAAGGCTCAGCTCCTGCAACCAAGCAAGCTTGGACTCAGATTTCCCGCTTCAATCTGATCTAGTGCCCAGCAAATATCCTCAGCGAAATGCTGCATGGCCCTGGGGACGAGATCTCTAGGCCTCAGTGACCACATCAAGCCTGCAAGCACAAAAAAGGAACGCGCTGCCAGTTATGAAAGAATTCTGTCCAAACTTGAAAAGGCTGCGCAGCAGGTGCTCAACAACTCTGATTAAAAGGACGTACAAGGCGTCTGTATTCAATCCTGTCGTCTGCCGCCAGACATGGACAGGGTCGAGTCGGAGTCAGGCTGCGTTTGGAGATGTTTGGAGTGGACACATGTGATGCTGAAACAATGACACGATGCTGCCAAGAACACATATCGAGTGCTGAGACCCCTGCACTCGCTCCCGGCTAAGAGCCTGCAGATGGTTCCAGCCATGTCAAGATTTCCAAGCAAACGCAATTTGGTGTTGCTTTCAGCCTTGCCGCAAGAGGCCTGGATGTCTCGCATGTAAGACCCTTCATGGCCGGCCTACTGAATCTGATTGCATACAGTCCACTGCCTGCAGCCAAGCTGCGTCAAATGCCCAGATCAGGATGGACAGATCAAAAGCAGAGCATTCGCAGATTTTGTCGTTGCCATGCTCCTCCAAGCAGCGCAGCATCAAGGCCACAGCTCGAATCTTGCTACTGTATCTTCCCGATATTCTCATGCTTTCCTGTGTCCGCTTCCTCGGTTCGTCTCAGGCACTTGCGATTGCGGGCCGCACGTAGGCTTATCTCGTCCTACGCCCTCAAAATTGCCCCACAGCCCTGACGTGAACACAGTTTATCCAGAAGACCTCACTCGGCGGTCATGGATACAAAGCAGCAGGCGTACATGTAGTCAATGTAGTCTATTTGTCTCTCTTTGCACGTCTCGTTCCCTGTTTGCCTGTTTATGTACATCTGCAAACCATGTGACAAGCAGAGGGCGGACCCCGGCTGCAGACAGCAGCGGCCCGCCAATGTAACCAGCACGAGTTGACCACCAGGCCGTGTTCCTGGCAATGAAGTTAGCATGCGTCAGCACGGTATGCCACGCAGAGCCCGTACTGGGAGCTGTTATATACTGTAGTACCGCTACTGTAACATTCCTCAACCGCTGCACAAACACATGATGTGCGAATACATGACGAACAAAGCCAGCTCGGCGCAAGGTTCTGCGTGGTGAGATTGTGGATCTTTGAAAGCGCCGCCGCTGAGGTGGCATCAAGAAGCAGCAGGTCTCAGCAATCGGGTCAGTTGTTGAGGTGTAGTGAGCTTTAGGCTGCGGCTGGAATCTGGAACTCCGAAGTACGAACTGCCGCTTTCGAACCAGTTGGGCTCGAAAGATCCGAACGAACCAGCATTGCCCGACCGGATCGCTGCACAGAGTCGTAAGACTTTGCTACCCAACCTCAGCATTTTGAGGTTGCCACTCTCCAGCGCCAGCTTGCCGGGCGCCCAAACAAGGTTTGCCAGCCTTAGCCAAGTATCGCACGGGTCCCACGGTGAAGGTTGGGCTCCGGATAGCTAGCGCCACTACATGTAGACAGTGAAGTGGAGTAATTGCCCCGAAGTCTGAAAGGAGCAAGTACCATTTCCCTGCAAGTATGGGCGCAGCTTCTGCAAAGTGCTTAAAATGGGAATTAGGTCAAACGGTGAACTAGAGACCAAGCAATCTGCGCAGCATGTGCTGTCATTTTATCTCCAGGCCTGGGGTGGCAGCCCATCTTTGCATGAGAAGTCTCGGGCTCTAATCTTCGGGTCCTTGAGAGCCTGCAACAGGTTTCAGACTTTTTAGGCTGATGCCAATTGTGAAGGCTCTGAGACCCTCCGAGCTTTGCCCTGGGCCAGCGCACGGCGCCAGCGTTCCGTCTGGCCTACGTACACCTACACATGGACATGGTCCCAAAGGCAACATTCAGACTAGCGCAGCTTTGGCGCATTGCAGATAACTCTGAGTTCGCAACCTTGGGAATAATTATTAGAATCATAAACGTTCACAAGCTGTGCATTTGGTGCTGCTGTGCACACCTGCAAAATTTTGCTGAGAGCTTGCTCCTGCCATGCCTGAGCGCAGGCTGCACAGCCTCATGCTGCCTTTGGTGAGCATTCCTGCATTTCTGCCCACGGTCTCTTTGAACAGCATGGCACCCGGAAAGTAAGAACCAGTAAAAGCTCAGCGTTCGTGAAAGTAACAATTTGAGTGCTGGCTTTGTGGAACTTTCCGGCTCCATCTTGGCGCTTGTTCAGGAGACTCTGCACTTAGGGGCAGCCTCTGAAGAAGCCAGTGATATTACTCTTTCACTCGGCACTGTGCGTTCACGGCGACCTGACATTTTGAAATCTGTACTGTCAAGATCGCGACTTAAAGCGGAACGGCCGAGGAGTGTGCTAAAACAGCCCGAACGTCGGGTTGAAACCGATTTTTCTGCGCGACCCTGCCGGTCTGGCAGTCACTGTTGTACTGCCCAGCGTTCCACCATCTTCACGACTGCTTCTTTCCCTGTCTGCTGCAGACTGCTTTATGTACAGGACGTTTTTTAGCAAATCTCTCGCCAATTGAGCTGTGAAGAAGGCTTTGACATACAAGGATTCTGAATGATTCTATTGAAATCCGGACAGGGACCTGTACATGCAAACATTGCTGCCGCCGAGTGAAGTCTTGCGAAAAGAGGCGGGTCATCATGCCTACCCAATCTACATGTAAAGTCAAATAACTCCTGCTGACGCGAGACCCGGCCCTGCTGCAGCAATAGGTTGATGCGATTACGCACTGTGCCTGTTGAATCAAAGTCAGGCAAACTGAGCGAATTCTTGCCAACGGCACTTATCACACAGAACACACTATATAGCCCATTGACGTTTCCCTAACCTCTTGCTTCCAACACCACTGTGCAGAACCATTGAACATAAACGACCTGATTGAACAAACCTCTCACACGTGGGTCGTTGCATCCACTGCCAAGTAGGATGCCTGCATGGGATCTGGCTGACACACGACGCGATCAGACTACTTTGCAGCGTGCCAAAACCGGGAACCAACCGAGAGGTCCTGTTCATGTCCCCTTACACACATATGTCGTATGGGCACGCTCCCTGTTGCTCTCTCTTTCCCACTGCTATCAGAACTCCAAACATATCGTAGAACTGAGCCTGCTCATGATATTAATGGTTCAGAACCAGCACACAACAACACGCAATGAAGCTGTGGAAAACAAGAAGCAGCAACTTCCAAAGTATGTCTACTGGGAAATACAGTATCAATATGGACAGCACTCTCAACACTACGTGATAATTTGGACAGAACAACCTTTCAAGCCTTTACGAACACATGGAGTTCCAGGAACAAAGGTCCGTTAGGGCAACCAGGGTCATGCGGGATCTCATCCTAGCACAGCCAGCCGTCAGAACTCAAAGCTCGCAATGCGTTCTAGCGCCTTCAGCAGCCCTTGGTCCACAGCAGCTTTCACCAACTTCCCCGTGCATTCTCGACCTTGGGAGCACTCCAGTGTAAAGTCTCAAGGACGAAGAGGTTTGAGGTTGGAATATGGGGAGAAATGTCCGAGGACGGGCAACGAAGCTGTGCCACAAGCACGGGGAAGCTTCAACTTGCTGCTGCTTCGTAATGTGCCCGCTGTTGAGATGTGCGCCGCCTTTGCACGTCATCAAGTTTCTAGCTAGTCGCACTTCAAGTCTTGATATCTGGTGCATGAGGACCACTCTGCACCCAAGCAGTCTTAGAATTCAGCGTGCAGCAATCCTGTGTGCAACTTCTTGGAGAAACCTGAAACCCACAACGCCGCCAGCCTAAATTGTGAATTCTGAAAACTTTGCCAGGCAGCAGTCGGGAAAGTCTAGGACCAAATCTCCCTCGATGTCACGGATCTCGTGGAAGGCTCCCTCGACTTCCTGCAGGCGCTGATACAGGCACTAATGCTCTCATGGCATCTAGGAAACCATGTGGTAAGCCCATGCTTAGAAATCCCAAGTGGCTGGCAAGACCTTCGCTTGGCCAACGGAACCAAAGACTATGCTTCTCCAAAGGGCGCGTCCTGCTCCGTCCAGCAGAAGCCCTGGAGCTCCTCCAGGCTCTTTGAAGGTGCCAAGGTCTACATTTGCTGGGTCCACATCTGGAAGTCTATACATCTTGCGGATGTAGTAGAGGACTATGGAGAAGCCGGGTTTTGAGAAATCTAGGTCACGTGTACGGCCAGGCATGGTCTTTCGTTGCCAATGTCTGAAAGAAGGCTTGAAAAGACTTGTGGAGATTGCCACCTGTAATGCTTCTCTGTAATCAATGTTGAATGGTTGCCTCAACTAAGCCTTCGCCACAGCCCAGGGTCCCCATTTCCCGTGTGGGCATCCAGGCTGAACGCTGAGTTGAAGTGCTAAGCAGCAGTTGAGCCCCTGTACAGAGGGGTTGTACAATCAGATGTCCAGGCCAGCTTTTCTACCATACAGTGTTCTCAACTACTGAGAATGGGTCCATCGGTGGGTGGACCACGCCGAAAGTACTTCTGGGAGGTCCTGAACTGCGAAGAGCACGGCTTCTGTTTCCCCTCGCTCCATTCCTGCATGGAGTTAACGGGTGAGATGGCACAAGGCCTTGCGATTCGGTATAGTTTAGGTGTTTATAAGCCTCAGAGGCCTAGGGGGGTCAAGGTGTCAGATCCGCGGAGGCAGCCTGGACTTTGACGCTTGGCGATCGGGAATCTTTTCTTTTGGGTAGCAGCCTCCACTAGATGCCTCCACTAGATATGTCAGATTCACCGAGCGCGTGAATCACGAGCCTGCCACCAGGAGTTTGCGAAGGAAGGTGACCTGGCCAGGCGGCAGCATGTCTTTGCGCAAGGACGGTTCTCAAAATTGGCGACGTGAGCGACCTTGGGGAGATGTAGGCATTGTCACTAGATCATGGGTTGTGCCATGGTGTGCCGATTAGGGTGTACATGGAGTTGCCCTGAGAAACTTCCACAAGGCGTTGGGATGTCATCAAGAAAAGCATGAGTTTGGGAGGCAGATAGGCTCTGGAAGAGGAATTCAGGGGGTCATTGCTGTCTAGCCTACAGTCTGTTGGACCTATGCTTCTGCCCGCAAGCCTGCTGTTTGACTGCGCAGTTCCCGTGGCCCACCTGCTCTTTAGCAGACAGGTGTAGCTCTTCCAGAACTTGGGCGAGCTCCTCCGTGCTGCGGGAGTCGAAGTACCTGGACCGTGTGCATTTCCAAAATGGGCTGTCCATGTCATTGCCAAGAGTCCGTAACACAAGGCAAGGGCTTTCAGCAAGGACTTTCAGCAAGGACTTCAGGAGAAGGGGCGGGCAAAAGCGCTGACAAGTGACTCCTCGATAGTGTCGTGCATCTCAGCTCGCATCTGCCGCAAGTCTCCAGTGCCCCACCTGTCGTAGGCTGCAGAGACAGGCAGCAGGCAGGCATCAGTGAGTCGTTTGCAACTACTTGCTAGTGCTGCAGCCTCTTTGACTCCTGAAAACAGTTCGTTTTGCACTTGTTGCGCATGGAGAACATTCTAGTGGGCACTCTCGCAGGAGCTTTGATTCATTTCCGGGCATGGCAAATAAGATCTATCACCGTAACTTCGTGTGGTGTCCTGCTTCAACAAGCCGAGCCCCGCACACCCGACGCGAATGAAGCGGCGTCTGCCGCTGGGCAGTGCGCAGCGCCTGCAAGCTTGCCGTGTGTTTTCTCAGCCAAACAAGATATGAAATCTGGAGGTTCTGCATTTCGGGAGTGCTCAGCTGAGACTTCGCTAACAACTGGCCTCAACACCCATGGATCCGCCGAAGCGCAAGCGGCGCGCAATCTTTAGGAACTGAGCCGCCAGTAGCTCTTTCCTGGGCAGGATTTGAGCACATCATGTCATAGAAAGGTCCACAAACCCAACTCCGCAATCTTGGGATTCTCGCTTCCCGGCAAGGAACTCTACGGCTGTTCGCAACAAGGCCACCAGGTGTGTGAGATCCTCGTTCTTGAAATTCGACCTCTGCTGGCTTCACGCAACAACTAAGAGCTAGTGACACACAAAAGAAAAACATGACGAACCAGTCCTGCCTATGCTGCCAGTGGATGTAGGTTCTTGTGAAAACAGCTGCCATGAGAAAAGCTTCCTCCTTGTGGTGGAAGGGCCCGGTATCCCAAAGCACTTTGGGGCTTGTAGTCGCAACTGACGTTTCATTTTCATGTCTTCTTCTTTGCTGGGGTAATACTCCTAAATGCTACAGAATGCCTATATTATCCCCATAAAAGTATATAGCCCTAAAACCCAAAACCTTTTGAGACAAAAGTAGCTCGAGGCCAGCAGTAACGATCCCCAACACACGGGAGAAGCCAATCTGGATGTCTGTCTCACTCAGCAGCTGGTCCTGGCGATTGGAGGAGGAGGGAATAGAGTAGTAGTGGTAGTACTTAATACAATAGTAATACAGTCGGTAGCAAAATAATAGATACGGTAGCAGTGATAATTTGTGCGCAGTGATGGAGAGTGCTGTCCTGTGAAAGCTGCACAAGAGCCTCCAGCACAAGTCGGCTCTTCTCGGCGCGCAGGCCTCTGAAAGCAGACTTCTCCGGCAAAGGGAGCACGCTGTAGGGATCACTTTAGGGGTTTTCATGAGTCTTGGTTCACCGCCACCCAACCCCAGTAGAGCAACTGTGAAATTCAATGGATTCAACTGTCCTAACATGGCAGTAAAACTACAAGACCCCTCAGCTCAAGCCTAAGCAGACTTCCTTGCTGGCTTTGTACAGCATCAACTGGGAATCTGCTTAGCTGCTTGGCTGCGCCTTGGTTATCAAAGCAGGACATCCAGAAGGCGTCGGTCAAGGGTTGGCCGTTGAAGGAGCTCAAGCAGGCGGCCACCACCACCTCATGGTGGAAGGCCGGCTTGCCTTATCGTGTCAGGGTCATGCTGTCAACGAAAGGTCAGATGGGATGCTCAAGATATTTTCGTGGCACAACTACACAGCCCTTGAACTTGAAATGATGGGATATAAGCAAATTGCATGGACGACGCACTCTCTGTATGAGAAACGATGTACGAACCCCCCGCCAACAATGGAAACATGTCCTGGCAGGAAGCATGCCCTTGCTAACTCCGTACTCCAGCACTCATGGACTACTCTCCTGCACTCCAAGAAACACTCGTCACGAAGCCAGCTGGCCAGACCATCCGGTGAGCCCGTCCGCAGTAAGTCATGCTCAACCTGTCTACCAGCTCAGACAGTTCGACTAAGTTTGGACTTGAAGACTTGAAGGCTACGTGTTCCTGCCTTGCCCACCATCTCTGACTTAAAGGCAGTGAGCTCCTCTCTCGGTCTTGGATACCACGGTGAAGGTTTCAGGGCTTCAAGGTCAGTGGCGCTTTGGCGTTGAAGTGCTTCACGTCAACATACATCAACTCTGTGACTGGAGGGATGCCTTGCCAGACCTACTTTGTCCCCTTTGCCAGCACAGGCTGATTGTAAATACTGTGACATAACCTAAGTAGGATCAGATAACATCTTGGGCTAGAAGCTTTGAGGCTCAGAGGCTCGAGGGCATACGTCCACCCACAGGACCACTCACAAGGTGTTGCGTTAGGGCCCGGGTCTCTACCATGAGGAATGGCCAGGCCCAGATGCAGCAACCGGACCTTCAAGTCATGTTGTGTAATCATTCAATCGCCAATGACTCATGGCTGCATTTCGATTCTTGCTCACTTCCTGGAGCCAAGTACGGATAGGCTAGGACCATCCTCCCAAAAGTCTTATGGCAAAGAAGTACCTTAACGTGCCAGTTCTTCTTGCATGAAGGATGTGAGTGATAAGTTTATTCTTGCTATTGTCATTATGACATCTTATTCAGCATCGCTGCTATCCACAACACGGCTCCTCCAAATGACTCAAGATGGTACGCTGCACCACGCTGGGAGGCAGCTCACCACAGACCTTCACCAGCAGATCCTGAACCATTCAGCAGAGCCTACTGGCAGCGATCTTATGCTTGCTGAGAAATTGAACTACAAGCTCTCAGTAAGGGCTGGCATGGCGATGGCATTTGGCAAATTGTTTGCTACTAGTGACTAGGCGCCCTGGAAAGACCATGAAAGACCTTGCTGGGTACATCTTGGGTGCACAGATTTCTCCCAGCTTGGGGCACATACTTGGTTCCCGGAGCAAAGCCATTCGGGCAGCTGTGTAAGCAGTGTTTGTACAGGTTGGCGTCCTGAGATGCGCTGTACGTGTTTTTATAAACCTCAGGGCCTTTGGGATTCTGATGGGAAGCCCTGCTGAGAACATTTGTGGCCATGGTCCATGTGCGAACAACAGAAGGGTTCTATTTCTGAAGGAGGGGACAGGAGTTGAGGCTTCAGGTTCTAGTGGGGGCTGTGCTGGTGCAACACCCAATTGGACATGGAACAAGATAGCTTCAGCAGAGATCCTCCAACTCAAACAAAGCATCGGCCAGCCCCCCCTCCCGCCAGCGGATCGAAGAGCCCCAGAACATCTCAACTAGTGCATGTGTCTTTGCTGCCTTACATGGAACGTCCATTCTTTGTGACGCTGGTTGCTGATGAGAACCCAGGTTCACATGAGACCCAATCCCACTTTAAACCCTGAAGCAACTTTCGGTCAGTCCGCTAAGGACTCAAACCGCCAAATCCCGAGCCCCGATGGAACTGGTTCTTCAATCGTTGTGCAGGTGCCTCAGGAAGTCTGGCAAACCTGAGAACGGATCTGCATGCATTGACAAACGGGGCGCACTCTGCGGGAGGAAAGACCTGCTTCTTTGCAAATCGTTATTGCATTCAGACTGGACCGCGCTTTGTCATCATCCTCGCTCCGGGTTCTTAGATTCCCGCTTCTGCGGGCTCAACGAGCGCTGCATCTTCTGACTGCTTGGCAGGTGGCAGGCTTCGGTCGAATAGGCCAACACGTGAAGAGAGCAGTGACACCAGCCTTGTTTGCTTAGTCTGCACAAACATTTGCACTTGCTTTCCAATGCATGTGTCTAAGCACGTTGCCACCGACAGCGGTAGGCAGGTCAACATCGCTTGTAAGATTTTCGCAGTTTTTGCTCTTTCAGCCCAGCCGCAGCCCGGGTGCTCCAGGGACGTCCAGCTGCAGGTCCTGGGGCATGTTCTGAGGACCCTGCTGCTTCACAGCTGCTCTGAGACTAACGTTGAACTGTCTCTCTACATACTTGTTGTGTGGGTCTCAAATGCGGTATGGGAAAGCTCGTTGCAACATCTGGCCTCCCAGGAGAGCACCAACTTTTCGAATCCTGCATGTGTGCAGCAGGCTGTGCGAGTTCTCAGTCTCAGTGCTGCAAGCACGAAACTTGTGTTCACGGCTGTTCAAAACGTTTGCTGGGAGGGGTTCTCCTCTTAGAGTCTCAGCCGCTGCGTCCTCGTGAGAGCTGCGCTGTGGAGAGCACGCCGGCATCATGTAAAGCTGCCAGCAGTGGAACGACTGTGCAGCGATCCTCTGCAATGCACATACATATCTGAAAGCCCGAACAAGCCAAACACGTGCAGGGGTCCTTTAGTTCTGCCAATGGCTTTCAACAACACGCGGCACTCATGCACCAACATCTAATTCAAGCTGTTTACGTGCGTCGTGCATGGACAGAACAGTTGCTCTAGAATGGTTGCTTAGCCTGGAATGCGGGCTGGGTTCTCGCGGTCTAAAACGATTCCTAAAGTCCCCACGTTCTGCCTGACTGACCTGCAGAATCTTGCCAGCTCGCAGACCAGGGTAGCACACGACAGCAGTTGGCAAGAAAAAGTCGGGCAATCCCCTTCGTGCAAGGAACCAAAGATGATTGCTCGAGGTCTTGTCCAAACTGCTACTTCAAGTCAAGCTTGAAACCAGGACGTTCGGAACCAGCAGTTTGCAGACGTCCTTCTCCCTCTGATCCAGAGAAGCACGCAGCAGCAGCGCAGCCAGTTCGTCATGGAAGGCCGCACACCCTAAGCCCTTGACGGATGCCACCATTCCTCCGCAAAGTGTTCGGAACACCAAATCCTATACATGCTTTCTTACACCTTCTCAGGTACTGAAGTGTAGCGTAAAAGAGTATCTCGACTCTTGCTTGAAAGGGATGCAGCTGCCTGCCACATCTCCAGAACAAAAGAACTCCATGGCAAGGAGTGATGCTTGTCGCTTGAACTCGTTGAAGTCCAGCCTGCCAGAAATACTAGAAGGAGCGAAGCACTCTGACGGCCCGCGCGGTTTTCAATGCTCCTTACAAATTAGTAAGGCAACATGCGCAAGCTCGTGATGCAGTGATGACTTGACCTGCCAGCTCTCCTTTCTGCAGGGAACTTCCATGCTTCCACAAGGCCTGGTGTCATCTGGAGGATCTGCACAGGTGGGAGATGGAACCTCCGGCCGCAGGGTTTGTGAGAGCTGCAGATTAGATTGAGGGTGCAGTCCGACGTGGTCCAAGTCACCAGGGTAACCGGGTAGCGACATCAAAGCAAAATAAACAAGACATGCTTTGCAATGTGACGCTTCTCGTAGAGCCTTGCAGTCCACCAGTCGACAGTTTGGGGAAATCTGCCGGGCAAAGGAATGGCCCATCTCAGCATCCAGGTCCATCTCCTGGGGCTGAATCTACAAGATCCAATTACATGATGAACTGAATCCAAGGTAAGGGAATCCCAGAGACCACTGCATTACCTAACATTGACGCACGCAAAGCTCAGCCAACGCTTCCAGATTTGAAGCGCATAGGGTACAACGTACAGGGCAGAGGGTGTAAGGGTAAAGGTTTTGAGGAGGTTGGTGGCACGAAAACACACGAGGTGCAGCCGCAGTGCATCCAGGGGTGGTGGATGGTGGCCGTGCCGTGCAAATTCATGGTGGCCGAAAGTCGCTGTCGCCTGAGCTTACCTCCCCTTTAAGAGGTCTGCGTACCAAGCAGGACAGTTCTGCGGCGTGTGGATGCTCGATGATTGATCGGACTTTAGTCTACGCCAACCGTAACCACGTGCTCAAGGCAGCCAAAGCTCAGTGGCCATCGCGTGTGGCGGCAAATGTCCGGTAGGATGTGAGGAGGAGCTCTTGAGCTGCTGGGGCTGACCAGGGATGCAGGTCTCTTTGCAAGTTACTTCTTGAAGACTTCTTGAAGGCTGCATGCCAAAATTAGAGGGAAGAATCCACAATGCGGTTCTCAATCGTCTCTTTCCTCGCGAGGGGGGATACCCCAAACTTCCAACGTATTGGCCCTATTTCACGTAATTTATTAACTGCAAAGAAACAAGCACCCACTTACCTAGCAGCAGTCATGTGCAACGCTGCACAGTGAGGCGCCACTCGAGGTCCATACCCCAGCTCATCTAAACCTGCCAGTCCATTTTGCAAATAAGCACAAATGCAGATCGATCTTGGCCACAAGCAGAGCAGAATGAATTCGAGCGCAACACGTGCTGCAAGTGCTGAGATGTGTCTTGACACTCTTGCGGTGTCTTGGCCTTCCAGGGTGTTCAAGGTCCGCGTAGCTGTAGCACCTTTGCAGTTGGCTCCGTGCCAGTTTCAACGCGACAAGGTCAAGATCTTCAGAGACAGCAACACATCTTCTGTCTCTTCAGCGTATGGCTTTGATAAAACAGTAGGTGATAGCCTGTGATAGCCGTACCCCTAGGAAGAGCTGCACCGCACGTAAGCCATCTTGCTGTTCCTAACTAAGGGGGTGCAAAGATGTGACAGAAGGATAGGTCCAAGCCTGGGATGTAGCCCGCATGTTATGTGCGCTCTTCTTTTCTGAGTGTGCGTCAGCAGTCTGTGATTTCTATCGTTCCAGTGTTGGTTGGGCTGGAATCCATGGAACGCAGACTGCGGAAGACTAGTCCATTGTAAGTCTTCATCTTGGGGAGGTATTGCTTCCTCGAATACCGAGTGATTGCAAGAAACACGTCCTTGGGCGCAGCCTTTGCCGTGGTCAGGAAGCCTTGCTTTTGAAGCAGGTTGCGTACCTCTCCATCCCGAGGTGCTGTCCGCCACTGTGCATCTGTGTGATGTGAGAGAAACGCGCCTCGAAGTTTCTCCTCCGCCTCTGCAAACGTATATTCCAGGATTCGAAGCGTGTCTAGCGACTTCCGCAGTGTATACCGGGTTTCCGGGGCATTCATGAAAACCAGCATAGCCTCGAACAAATCAGAGTTCATGCTGTCGTCCATGTACCCCAGCCTTTTCAGAGCTCGGCTCACAAGGTTTCTCGAGTCCTGAAGCATGAAGGGACCCTTCCCAAGAACAACTGTCTCGATAGCCTGCTGCCGAACATTTGTAATTGCCTCTTCGTCAACCGTCCCGAAGCGCGCTTTGGGAGGAAAAAAGCAAGATTGTCTCGGCATTTCTGCCAACTTTTACCACCACACTTCTGAAGAAGTTCGTGCACGCCCTCCATCCCAATTTGCAAGGGAAAAACGGTGAGTGAGCCCAGCTTATTTGTCAGCCAGAATTTGGCAGTGGCATGGACCAAATGTTCCTCACCATCTGTGGCCATGTAGCCGAGATCCTGTAGAAAGTTCCGGCACTCGGTGTCCTTCTCGGAATTATCATATGGCTTATATGGGCTACCCAGCTGCGCTGACCCATCTCCATCCTGATGCAGAATGGCCCTGACTATTGGGAATCGCTGGATGCTTGATTTCAGCTCGCAGACGGGTACTCCGACACTGCGATATCGCTGGATCACTGACCTTTTTCGAGAAGGAATGAAGACAAGCACCTGCTTGTTGTTCGTTGCTGCCTGTTTGACAATGCCAAAAAAATCGAAGCCAGAAATCAAAAGAGCGAAGCTTTGGGTGTCACTACAAATTTGAAGCGCATGACCAAGCGCATGATTCGTTGGCTTCTCCGAGGAGGTGACGTCGTTCGACAGGCTGGTACGTTATCTTGGGTCTGCAGAAGAAATTATTCCACTGCTTGTTGTGGTCGCGACGTGGCGGTGCAAAAACGGTTGTGTGCACATGGCGGCCCATCTTCTCCAGCTCCAGTATGGCGTCCTCAATCTCCTGGATGCTGTGAAGATCACCGTCGATAAAAAGCCGTGTAAACTCACAAGCCATATTGGAAAATGCGTGGCCATGATGTTGGCACCTTCTTGTGCGGCCAGATCTGCATGCTAGAGCCTTGATTGCGCAAGACCATCAACAAATCAACTTGAATGTCAGTCGCACCTGCAAACAAAGAATGAACAGCAACGCAAAACAGTGGAGAATGCTGCCGTCGGGCCAGAAGCATGGTCACGAGACTGCGGCCTATCCCGCAGCTTGCTTCTGGAATGGCTGAATGTCGCCATGGCATGGAGCGGCTTTGTCTGGAGGCAGTGACGATCACATACGGCAGTCTTTGCTGCCCTTCAATCAGACCAGAATTGCAGCCCACGCCATCATACGCATTCATGGCACCCGGCTAAAGCTGTTCCAGAAGTGCAACTGGCGCTTCAACCAGAAATGGCTCACCAATGCAAACAGCCTTGATTTGCCACGGCATACATGCGCTCAGCCTGCCGTGCAAGAAGAAAGGCAGTTACGTGAACCTGCAAAGAAGAAGCTGGACCTGTACCTTCCGTGTCTCCAACGTACAGTATGTACTGCAAAAACGGAGCAACAAGCTAGAACTAAACAACTTCCCGCTTCACCTCAAGAAGAGGCGCCCGTCAGTTGTGCGCCATCAAGCTTGCAATCACGTACTGATTCCGTGCAACCATTTCTCCGCCTTGCTGCTGAGCACCGGGCTCATGAGCATCTCGTCATTCACGCTGAGTCTTGCAGGCCACCAGGCCTGGTGCGGTCCACTCCCTCTAAGCGGGCAACCCGACATTCCAGTTTCAAGTTTTGCCCGCACAGTGCCCTAGGAATACTTATGAGAGCTACAAACATGGCACGGCCCCAGCTTCACAGCATGAGGGCGCTGGAGGTCTTGCTTTAGACTAGTTCTTCTTTCCGACGGGAACGGCAGAAGACCAGCTAAACGGGGGGCGTGTTTCCGCGATCCCTTGATCTGATGTATGTTTCGCGTGCATGTTTCATAGGATACAGCAGCAATTCTGGTACAGGGCTCTTTGGTAGGTTCCAGGGCATGAGTTACAAGACCTTGTGCAGAATCCTCAGCAGTTGCCTGTATGAATCAGGTTTGGAAATAGGAGAGTTGGTTGGCTGAAAAACAGGTCGGGCTCCGCTACTCGGTGTGTTTTGCTTCCATTTCTTCCTTTAGTCCGCAGACCTGGTCTGGGCAAAGCAAAGCACCACTTCTCAACTTAGACTGTGGTTGCCTTTACTGAAATCATCAGTTGCCTAAAGCCTGAAATCGGATGCACAAATGAAGGTACACGAAAGCTCACCCGCATATGGCCACGCGATCAGTACAGCCTTATTCAACCTGGAAAGCAAATAAGTCAGCCCAACCAGGGAAGAATGCCCTAGCAACCGCAGGTCCACACACCAGAGATTAATTAAGATCACGGCCGTATTTGCAAGGTCCTGGCAGCTCAGCACCTCAACCTGCAGATTTCTTGGATGGTTTCGTGCGGCTTTCGTGTGTGCAGGCTGCATGTCCCAGCCGAGTCTGTTGATTTTCTCTTGCGGATATAAGTTCCATGACAATAATCTTCAGAGTGGCGGTCTGGGAGGGGAAGAAAGGCATGGCCGTGCCAGCCCAAAGAAAACTCCGATGATCAGAGCCACTCTGTCGTATGTATTTGCAACCACAAGAATTGCTAGCAGCATTAGCAGCAGTACTAGTAGCAGCTGCCATGAGAGTGCTGACATTCTTCCGCAGGATCTGGAAAAGGGTTAGGTAGCCAGATTTGAAAGCCAACGCAGCTGCAAAATGAACATGCCAATGGTAGTCACGCTTCTGCCAGGGATTCGATGGTCTGGCTAGAAATGGGAAAATATTCAGCCAAAAGTCAATGACCAGCGCACGCCCTCAGGCAAAGGTTTGCTGAGTGCACCCACCTTTCGTCGACATTCCGCCGCAATTGCGCTGATCAGCAGGGGCCTTTTGCGGTGCAACAGGGCTTGAGCAGCCGACGTGCTCTCAAAGCAAAGCAATGCATTCCCCCTAATGTTGACCCACCCCCTCCCAACATCAAATAATGAATCCAGGGGCCTTAAAATCCTGAAGAGCTCTTTTACAAGGGCAAGACTACCGTGAAACGGGGCCAGTGAGGACCCCCTAGTAATGAATAATCTGAGGTTCAACGGGGCTCATAACAAGTCAAAAAGATTAGGCCCGGGGATCTCCTTGGTTTCCTGGGTTCTTGCGTATTTTTGTATTTTTCTTATACAGGAATTTATACAATTTTTACAGTAAGTAATAACAGTAATTTGGTTTGATGTTATTCGAATTTGAATTTGCTTTGAGTAGATTGCTGATTGTTTTTTTACTAGCTGGTATTGATCGAGTGTGCAAATAGTGGAGGTTTCCTTAGGCTTTCAACTGAGTTTGATTCGACGTTATGTTTTCACGGATATCTAACCGATTTCAGGTAGATCTCAATTGAATGGATCTCAAGTGGTTCTAAGACAATTTCATTGGGATGCTGAACAAGTTTTCTAGGGAGCCGTATAATTCTTTTTCCGTACCTATAT